GTTCAACTAGTGTATTTAAAGGACTTTCTATTTACGGAATTTTCCTTGGACGCTATCATACAGGTAATCCTTGGGTTACGGCAACAATTGGAACCGAGATTGCTGTCGCTAAGTGATGTGGATGAAAATGCAATATCATGTCATCACATCATTTAGCAATGGCAATCCCAGCAGTCCTGGTTGTTGTCATAACCCAGGGACCACATGGGCTGAGTGGGAAGAGGCGGGAGTTCCAGATAAGGAGCACAGTGGGTGTCATGGGAGAGTGGAAGAATGCCACAAGTCAGCTGGCAGAGGTACAGATGGGCTCTGGAGAGCACAGGTAGGCCAGCAATGCCACAAGTGAGCACTGTGGTACACAGGTCACAAGGTGGGGAGTCGGGTTCCGCAGGCACACCACTGAGTGTAGGAAAACAGGGTTGCTACAGAGTATGAGATCCCTGGGATTTTTCAACATTCACTTAGCGTTTTAAAATACTTTTCTATCCATTGATTTTTCATTTATAGATAGTCCTTGGGTTACAATGGCAACTGTGACAAAGATTGCCACCGCCAAGTAATGCAAATGTTGCAGTTGCAAATGCAGTTGCAAAGCACAACATTATGAGAAAGCATCACTTAGAGAGGACAATTCTGGCTGCTATCCTGGGATCTTGTACTCTGTAGTGGGGCTCAAAAGAAAAAGTGTAATCTTCTCTGCCAGCTTCCCTATTGATTTTTCTTGGCATTTCAACACCCAGAATGCAATCACGTGACTCTAGGGAAGTTGTAACAGTTGCAACTTCATGGATCAATTGTAAGTCTTTCTTTCATCTCTATTGCAATTTTGAATGATTGCTGAACAAGTGGTTGCAACTTGTATTTGTTTCAGGTGTGCTTCCAACATTTCCTTAATTTTCATCCCAAATCATTTCCTATTTTTTAAAAATTCCATTCCACCTATTTGAAGTTCTTTGTTTAGCCCTCTTCATTCACTTCCAAAATAATTTTTATTTCAATCAAACTGCTCTGCATTCTTCTATCCTTATTTTAATACCAATACTTGTTCTGCAGGATCCAATCTAGGTCAGTCCTGGGACATGCTTTCTTTCATAAATATTTGTTCCCTTTGCCGACACTCTCAGCAATAGTTACTCATTATTTTTTTATAATTCTGATTTTTTGCATCATTCTTTTACATGTATTTTTTTTCTCTCCCACATTTCCTCCAAGCATCATTTTTATACAAATGGAGAAACCCATCAGTGTTTCTCCGTATGCTTATGTGGCACTCTATAACATTTCTTTATTCTAGTCCAACCAGCTTATATATTATTTTTCTTTCCCTCGGTTTTCCATTCCATTTCCATTTATTCGGATGGAAAATAAACTCTTTCATTCAGTATTTGTACTTTTTCTTTCTTCGATAATTCTACTTTTCCCTGTTCAGTCCTCTCTCTCCCCCCAGATCCAATTTTGATGCTATCAATAAATGGTCCATCTCATATTTAAAATACAGAATCTAGAATAACAAAGGGGAAGGGACTTTGGAGGTCTTCTAATCAAAACCCCGGCTCAAGCAGGAAACCATAGACTATTCCAGACAAAATCTATCATTCCTCTTGCATCCTTACCAATTCTCTCATTATTTCATCATTAACATCAGATTAATCATGCTGTTAGATGTTGTGCTAATTCTTTTGCCTTAAGTATATGTAAATTGACTTATTCTTAAACCATATACTGTAGTAGAAATAGACTTTTTGCTAAATACTTTCCAAGCTACAATTCCCAATCCTTGTGAATGATATCACCTTTTCGTACATTCTTACCTTCTTGCCACCCAACTAGTCATGTCACTTATTATTACAATTTTTTCTCTAGATTGCATTGATTCTGAGCTTTGACCAAGTTTTCCCAAATTTATCTTTAAGATGTCAATTACCGCCATCTCCTGGAATATAACATACAACTATGACCAATGTATAGCTATTCCAATCATAACACAAGAGATCTGTTTTGATTATTCCACGTAATCTTTGTTTTTTGGTGCGCTGAATCCGAAAATGACCTACATTTTGTCATAGGACATCACGTTTCCTGACAATTCAGGTACCTATGTTAAATAAGGCAATACCTCAAAATAAATGGAAATNCACACACACACACACACACACACAGAAAACAAAAACAAAAAAAAGCTGGTGCTGCAAACCACATTCCACAGATGCAACCTATCATTTTCTCATCCTGCTCAGATCTCACCCAATCCCTGTGCCTGGGAGATGATTCAAATCTTGAATGGTCTCCAAAAGGTTAAAAGAGTAGGGTATTGGGAAGGGTATTCCACAGAGGCTGCAATGGAAAAGTCACACTTCTGAGGATCCATAAGGTGATAGTCTTTAAGGTAAGACACCTGGAACCTTCCTACCCTATCTGCTTTGGTGGGACAAGTAGAGACCCTAGGGAGGAAGGGTTAGGGAGCGGCAGTCCTGCAGATAACCTGTTCCCATATAGGTAGGGTTTTTGATTGTTACATGTATTTTAATGTTCAGAATATACATTTTTCATAAAATGTATATGCTTTAAAAAAACCATTTTTATGATCCTATAATCCATGTTCTTCTTAAAACCCCTGGCAGTGGGTTTTTTTTCATTTAATATGTTGTATCTTTAAAACAGTCTAACATGGCATTCACATTTATATATTTCAAATTTTGTACAAGCAACACATCAAGATTAGTTTTCATCAACACTAAATGTAACACTAAATATGACTTCTATTTCCACCAATTTCAGTGGAAATTAAATTCAATTAATTTGGATTTAATCCATTGTTTAAATATCAATGAAATATTGTGAGCAAGCTAAGCACAAAACTTTTCAGGTTCACATATTACAGCGTCTATAATTTATCCGGTTCACATGATTCTCTGATCTATAAACTAAATCACCCAGATCAAGTTCACATGAGACTTTAGAATGAAATGCAGTCCACTAATTTGGGGCTCCATGTATCATCAAACTAAGGCAGTACCAATAGTTATTAAGAGTATGGACAGAATTAAAAATTAGAAAAACTCAAGGATGTTGCTGCAAAGCAATCCATACTCTCCACCCATAAAGTGTTGTATCACTTGTCATTTCTTATGACATCATGACAATGTATTTTACTACATCTACTGTATGTCATTATCAATTATCTCTGGAAAAAAACCAGAATATTTTACATTACAATAATAACAAGTGGCTTTTATTCCATATTATTTACATTTATACAATTTAGGTAGTTATACCAATGTAAATTACAGGTAAGTTACTTACCCAGTGACAATACATAAAAACTGCCGTGGTTTTAAAGTGAAGACTATCTGCTTAAGAAATAAATGATTTGTAGACGTAGAGAGAAAAATGAAAAGAGAAAAATAATGACTATGTCTAAAATATTAGCATTTGAATGGGTTCTCTCTACCTCACTGTCACTACTAGATGGTGTAATACAGGTATGCTACAAAATATATATGGGTATGTATATATATATGTATAATATGTATGTATAATAATACATAATGTATGCACTGTATAATAATACATAATATAATGTATAATAAAAGTATAATACACGGAAGAAAAATCCTTTATATTTAACTTCTGTACTTTATTAAAAAGCCTCTTAGAAAACACAATGAACAATGAACACTAGAAAGGCAGTAAAAAAAACTATGAAGAAATTATCACAGAACCCAATGGGGTATGAAGTTTTAGAATCAAGTAGCTTCATAAAGGTCTCTCACACTATCAAATTCTTATCTCCACTACTCCGTAAGTCTGTTAGAAACAATATGCCAGCTCAAAGTAATATTGAAGCTGTAGCCAATCCCTGAAGCATCATCCTTTTTCTCAGTAAATGGCACTGCAGTACAAAATGTGTCAGTAGGTCATTCAAAAAAAAAACCACACCCAACCAAGACATTTTAAACTATAGATCCCCTTTCTGGTTTATGGTCAGTCATACTGTGATTTGGATGCGATGCAATTCCCACACTGATATATGCTTGTCCTTCAGCATTTGGAATTTTCATTTTGTTTCAGTCATTTGGGAGTGGGAGGCAAATTCATTCTGAAATAATCTCAGGTTACTCATAGCAGGTATCCTTTTGTATACTATCCTAAATCAGTGGCATAGAAATGTATTGCATGATTATCAACATGGACTTGAATTACATCCAGTACAAAAAAAGGCTAGAGAGCTTAACAATAAATTATGATACAAAATATAAACCCATTGCAAGATGCAAGATGGAAAAGTAAAAATTAAACCCAAAAGACAAAAAAGCATCCCAGAACATTCTAAAAGGTGGTCAGGAAAATCCTGAAGCTACAGATTTTTTGATCCTATCTGCAACGGCGCAAGATCCATTATGATCCTAAAGCTCGATGGGATCACACTGCAAATGCATATTTTCATGTCATCCAAGGCAACAGGAGGGTAAATCACAATCACAACTATACAAAATATGAAATTGCCCGAGCCCCGGACTCCACCCCCCTCCGCCCCCTATTTAGCAATGGCGAGAGAATCTGGAAGGACCCTGTCCCAGCCCATCTTTTCCAGATCCCCTCAAAACCAAAACTAGTCGACCCGTTTTCCTGCTGGATCCCAACTACAACCGGCTGGACGTGCTGAATTCATCCCCAAATAAGCAAGCCCAGGCACTGCAACTTTTCGCTCCGCATCCGCCGTAAAAGAAGCTGAAGATGCGCCCTGGAAGGGTGGCTCGGACAGCTACATCCACGCGGCCTTCGCTTTCAACGCTCCCGGAGGGCGAGAGGAAACGAGACCGGGTTTAAAATCCGCGTCCGCGGGGAGAAGGGCTCCCGCTCCGAAGCCTCCTCCGGGTGTTTCACCGTCCAGAGCGCTCGCTACCCACATTACCGGGGCTCCTCCCCTCACGCACGGGGGGCTCCTCCCTCCTCCTCCTCCCCCGGGGGGCACTGACCGGGCTCCCCTCCCGCCTCACCTGTCATTGAGCTGGTCCTCGGTGCCCGGCAGCGGGTGCACCACGAAGTGGATCGATGTCATGTTTTGCTCCCCCTCCCTGGAGGGAGGCAGGCAGGGGCCAGGCGCACAAGGAGGAAACGGAGGGGGGGCGGGAGGAAGGACGGGCGAGGGGGAACTTGGCGTCTCCTTCAGGGTGTTCGCGGTCACACTCGGGAGCCTTCGCTCCGCGCGAGGGGAGGGAGAAAAACCGGGCAACGCGGGGCGCAGGAACGGCAGGGAAGGGTTCGGTCAGCACCCCACTCTCACACGAGCCGCCATCTTAACTTCCAAGCTGCCCCTCGCTTCCCTCCCTCCCTCCCTCCGCTGCGCCGGGAACAGAGCGGAAGGTGGAACGTCACCTGAGCAACAGCCAATAGAAAGCCCTCACTAACTGGCGAACCGGCAGGATCCTTGTAAAGTCAGCGGCGATTGGCTGGTGGGACTGCGATCGGCGTGCTTACGTCAGACGCGAGCGTTTTAAGGGGAGGAAGGACCAGAGCTGCTTTCTTTCCAGAGAGGGAGGCGTTGGAGGGGCGGGTACGCGCGGCCTCCCGCGATGGGCGGAGCTTTGATTCCTCGGAGTCCGCGTGGGGGGAAGGAGAGGCGGTTAGCTTCCTTTTGCTATGTTGGCGCCGAGGCGATGGTGTCTGTTCTTCTGTTGTGTGAAATCCAGTGGAAGGGCCTATTTGGGCAGTTCCATGATGGGACGGAGAGGGTGGGGATAGGGAGAAGACTGCACTTGGTGGCTGCGTGCAGGAAACTTGAAAAAGGGCTTCGCTTAGTTAGTTGCTTTGTCTCTGGACGTTGAGGTGCATTTGAGGATTGGGTAGCATCCAGATCCGGAGACTTCCAGGGCTCCCCGTAGATATTGAAGCCCAGCGGGGTGATTTTAGGCAATCCCTTTTTCAGCCCAACCCATCTCTCAGGGTTGTTGCTATTGTGGGGAAAATAGGAGGAGTGAGTATTACTTGCTGCCTTATTTATAAAAAAAAATAAAGGCTGGATAAAAATAAAAACAAATTGCTGCTGAGTTGTTTTTCTTCATACTGGTGCTATGTGGATAAGTCGAACAGCAAGTCCCGTCCTCCCAAGTATTAATAGCTGTGCTACTAATTTCTATCTGATTAGAGGCCTAGACTGAAATGATTGGGGGGAGGGGGTTAAATGTGATTATTTTTGTTTTTGAATGTGATGGACAGAATTCTGATAAGAGGTTTATTGAGTTCATTTGCAGCGAAATGTATTTTGCTGAAGAAAATCACTTAAATATTAATGCACTAGTGCATTAGATTACGGTAATTACGCTGCATGCATGTTAATTAGGATGAATAAAAATGGCAAGTGCTGGGAGGCCATATTGGTAAAATGGGATCTGTTTCAGCGATATGCTACCTCAGTTGTTATTCTGGGGAGTTGTGATGTGGTTTTACTACTATTGAGGGTGAATTTGAATTAAAAATCCTGCTCCCAGTTCTTTTGCAACCTTCACAGCCTAAGTCTCGCTCACCAGGGTTGGATGAGGTGAGAGAAGTGGGAGGGGTGCAGCCTCTTCAGCTGCTAAATCTAATTGTACAAAGCTGATCCATGAGATTGGAAACCTTGCAGTTAAAGAGGCTTGCCACTGTCTCTCCTGCTACCTTGCCTAGCCCTGGCAGCTACCATTTCAGCTGCTCAGGCAGAGGGGAGTTTCCCAATCCCATGGATCAAATCTATACAATTGGAGATGTGGAAAACAATTAGATCACCTATGGAATTTGAATACATTGAAATGCTGGGGGTGGAGGGAGATCCATTTTGGGGGGGGGGGGGGGAAAGCTGCCTTTTCTGCCAAAGCAGAATAGCAGCGGAAAACCGCCAGGAATTAAAGGATGTCCTCTGTGGCTTTTTTGGCAACTTAATCCATTCTGCAAGAATTGTATCAGGAGAAGAGATGAAATACTAACTTTAAATAGAAAGCAGTAATGTTGAATTAAAGCTGCCTCTGTAGCAGGCTGGAGATGAGATGAAGGCTATGTGATGAGGATACAATTTTTAACAACATGTTGTATGTTTTATGCTGTGGTTAGATCATGAGAAGGAGCCTTAAGTTTGCAAAAACGTATTTGAAAATTTAAAATAGCCTATTTATTTTTCTGTTGAAAATAATACCAAATACAGGCTCCTTGGTTTATATTTGGCAAACAGGATTTGGTGATTAATTTGGAAGAACATCTCTGAAGCAGTAATTACTTTGTATCACAAATGGATTAATGATATTACATACTTCATCTTTCCGGTTTAGAAATTCCATAATTGAATAGAATGAGATCTATTGCCAGATGTGCTGAGAGGATCAATTTACCTGAAATCTTGTCTGCTTCTATAAGAATGTTTTCTTCCTGTGGAGCAGCTTTTAAATGAGCCATCAGTGCTTCTCTTAAGCAGCAATTCATTTCCTTTTCATATGTTAAAATTGATTGACTATACACCATCAAATTGGTTTTGACTCTTAATGACCACATAGATTTAATCCAGGAAGTTCCTGGATTAAAGGTTGTTCCCAACCTGGTTCTTCATATGTTGTCAAATCATCCTAAAATTCAGGGATTCCTTCAGCCATTATGTAATTTTTAAAAAATGTAGTTCATAACTCTGTAGCATTCCTTCAGTTAAATTAGTTACTTTATAATAGCTCCCCTAGTTATATCTATAATAAAATACATATAGTACAATACAATGCAACACAACACCCATGACAATCCTCAAGCAACTATACAGGTCCAGATTGGTGCTTATGAATTGTGCTGCTGTACTAGTGCTCCTAGAATTGACATAGTACCCTAGTTAGCTCTGAACTCTGGTAAAGCTATAAAAAAAACCACAGGCCCAACTAACATTGGAACAGAAGCAGCCCTTATCAGCAAGAAAGGCTGAGTAATAATTCCTTTCTAAAAAGAAAGGCAGTTCATCCAACCGAAAAAACTTGTACTATTGTTGGAAGAAATGCCCTTCTGGGTTTGGCTCTAAGTGGGGAAAAAGACACTGGAGACATGGAGGCTGCTTGGAAAGATGGTTTATTGTTGGACAGG